TAATAAATCATTTCCAATGCAGAAATTAATAAATCGTTGCCCACTTTCATTTTTAATGTGTTCTCGACCATGTAGACCCATCACTCCATGTGCTCTTAGATGATTCTTGGCTGTTCTAGCATTGAAGTCTCCCATGATCACTAAAAAGGAGGTAACAAGGTGCAAGTTAGACCAATAAAATTTTTAAGAGAACACATACAAACAAAAAAAGCTCAAACGCCAAGCCAATAAAGAATTATTTTAAAAAATATATAAAGACATTATTAATTCTACCTAAAAAAAATATAATTAGGAAGAGAATGGTTGATAGGATTGTGGATTTTGGAGTAACCATATTTTTTTGAGTTTTCAATTAGGAGGAACATTCAAACTAGAGTAAAAGAGGAAAGCAGGGATAAGACCACAGCAAGAGTGATACTAAGCTAATTAAATTTTTGATAATTCTACATTCGATGGGAAAATCTTTAAGAATAGAATAGTAATAAAATTTCATGAGAAGGGAGTAATGCACAATAAATCTTGGGGGAGGAGAGGAGGAGAGGAATACCTCTTACCTTTGGGGGCAGGATGACTAAATGGGCTAACGTGTGTGGACAGCAACACTAGATGCCTGGCAACCACCAGAAAACCTAAGTTATGAGATTAAAAAAAAAAAGTACAAGTTCAAGTTCTGGTGCTGGATGGGATTTTAAATTCTCTGCCCTCACCCTACAGCCTGGGAAAATCCCGTATAGCCTAAAAGGCGAGATAGGGAAGAAAATAAAGAAAAAAATAAATAAAGGCTACCTCTTACCTTAAATATCATTTTATAAGTATTAAATTGAATTTTATAATAATTTCAATACGATTAAATTTCCAACAATTCTTTTATAATAGTTTTGCTAAAGAAGACTTTTTCTCCAGACATTTCTAGTCTCAAGATATAATCTAGCAGTGACATCCATAGGGGAAGGTGGTGGTCCACAGGTCTCAAGAGCAGGGGATTTTTTTATAGATAACTACGATGCAAAAATATTAGAAAAAGTTTAATTGCATCACACAAACATACTTTGTGAACTTTTTTTTACAAAAAACAATTTTTAGTGAAATTTTTCTTTTTGAATTTATTTTATTAATTGTAATAATTACTTTAAATACAGAATAGCAATTCATTAATAAGTCTAAACATAGGATATGAAAGAATAAATAGATATTCTATAATTATTGGATTTGTTTTCGGAAGTGCCTAATATATTTATAATCAGTTGTCTAATTAAATAATAGATCATTTGAAATGATAAACATGATAGAAATGGATACAAATTATGAAACAATGACAATGAAATAAAAGTTCTTAATCTTTTTTAAATTATTAAACCTGCCACATACTAAGAGGGACCTTCATTTCCTCAAAGTTCATTTTTCATTTCTGTAGTTTGAGGATAATTTTTAGGCCAGTATTGTGTTAGCTTATACATTCTGTCAACCAGAAATTGATTTCTCAAAATTGCTTGCCTAAATTCCAGTTTGGTTATAGCAGCATCAATTTGTTCTTGTATCATAAAAAATAATATTTTTTCCAGGAATATGTTGATATCTCATCCCAGTTTGCAATATTCAAGTATTCTCTGCTTGTCCCTCCATTGAAACATAGTTGAATCTTTCATGGAATGCTTTTTTATTCAGATGTATCCATAAGGGGAGCAAAATGTAGAGTTTCTTTGTCAATCATGATAAAGATGCAACTGAGAAAATAGTTTCATAGACTACTGTTTTCTCTCTTTTCTTCGGCCTTTTCTCGAAAATGTACAACAGAATACATTTTCTGCCAGTTATGAACTTTATTCTGTACCATAATTTTATTGATAAGGGAGATATTGTCCTAGAATACACAATAATAAAGAAAAAAGTCTTTATTATATACTTTAGTTATTTATCTGTGAATTATATGAGATATTACTATAAAATATTATCTCATTATTATTATTTTTTACTAAACATTGAAATGTAATTATTCAGTCGGAAATACAGCTTTTCATATTCTAGTAAGTTATGATTAAAATTGAACATGATACATGTTTTCTCTAAATAGTCTCTTTTAAAGATTAGGAAAGAAAATGTACCATCAAAACTATACATAATTGATTATAACCATAATTTATTTATTAGGTATTTATAATTATAAAATAACTAATTAGTTATAAATTATGAACACATCAATTTTAGTTATCTTTTGGAATTTAATAGCATAGTTGAAAACACAAATTTATCTGGTTCTGTAAATGTATACTAAATGAAAAAAAAAATTGTATTACTATGAAATATATCTTAATACATAAAAATTCTTCATCATCATTATAATCCTTTCCCTCTTTACCACTGCACAGTGTGGGGATGTCCTCTATAGAGCTTGACCCTTGAAGCTTGTCCCTCTTTTGTAACAGCACTCTCCTTCTGCTCCAGTCCAGCCCTCACTTCCTGAACGCCTCCCGCACGCCTTCTTCCCAGGTGATCCATGGTCTTCCTCTTGGTCATCTGCATGCATTTTGTCTTCTGTGGATTTATATCCATGTTAATGCTAGACAGCTCTTCTTGCACGATATTTATGTTGCATTGTAGGTCCCGGTAATCCGCAGCTAATATAACGATGTCATCGGCAAAAGCGAGGACTCTGTAGAAAGTAGGCTGTAGAATCATATATCCCAGTCAAAAACGCAGTAGTCTGAGTTCAGTTCTTCTCAACGCTTGATCCAGCAGTAGTATGAAATAGAGAGGACTTAGGCTGAACCCCTGTCGTATTCCCTGTGTCATTTCAAACTCCTTGTATGTGTGGTTGCCACTCCTTATAATATTTTTGGTCTTTCGATAGAGACTCCTAACAGCCAGAATCGTGCCAATGTCAACTTGTCTTTCAGACAGAGCTTGTTCTATATGCTCCTTTTTGACTCTGTCGAACGCCTTTTCAAAATTCAAGAAGCAGACAGAAAGTTCTTTCCCTTTCTCGATGGACTTCTCTATGTCCTGCCTCAAAGTGAATATCAGGTCCTGTATAATTCTCGAGTTTCTGAATCCATACTGCTCCTCTCCGATTTGGCATTTGACCACTCTTCTTACCCTTGCTTCAAGGATTCTTAGATAGAGCTTACTTGGCACACTGAGCAGAGATATGCCTCGATGATTATTGCATTCTCTACTGTCTCCTTTCTTGTAAACATGCACTACCACTGCAATCTCTCAGTCCTTCGGTATCCTTTTGTTATGCCAAATCAAATTTAAGAGATGGAGAAACATTAAAAAAAAAAATCATCATTCAAAAAATGGAGAAATGTAATAATTCTTTTATCTCTAGATATGGAAATATTTTCAAGGTTTTTGGGTTTTACATAAAAAAATTTAGATGAAGCAGAATTTTTAAAAACTATTAAATAATAACCAATATGAAAACTGAAATTTTAAATCATCTGACTGAAAATCAGTGTTATAAATTCAACATATTAAAATTTAGTTAATTTTTAATATATTTCTGAGCATTTTAAGTTTGATCAAAATATTAAAATCTTGATTATTAGAATTATTTGGTTCAGTGGTGCCCAGACGGGGTTTCCTGACACAAGTTGCGCCATTAAAATTTTTGAGGATGGCACATTTTGACGGGGTTTTAAAGTTTTGAGAGAGGCACATTTTGACGGGGTTTTAAAGTTTTGAGGAGGACACCTTTTGACGGGGTTTTAAAATTTTGAGGGATGCACATTTTGATAGGGTTATGAATTTGTGGAATGAAGATTTTCAAACCAGGGGACGAGAGGATTTTGTAAATCCATGTAAGTAGGATTTTGGAAATTCATTTCGGCAAATTTAATATAGACATCGAAATTTTGAAATAACCAACTGAAAATTAGTTTTGTAAACTTAAAAGAGTTAAATTCAGTAATGTGCAGTATATTGTAGGATTGACGCATTAAAACGTGATAATATATAAGTTTTACTTCACTTACCTACATATAAGATATATAGTAAGGAAAAGTATTGCGATCGCGAAAAATTTCGAATCCGAGTTTTTAACGGAATTATATTGTCCCCTGGAGTCCAAGTAACCAAGTGTTGGAAAATGCTCTGTCCGTATTTCCAAGTTTTGTACACCCATTATTTTCTTTCTTGCCGAATTATGATTTGTAGATTTGTAACAGTAGATAAGCATTAGTTTTTCTCACGCAGTTTGTTTGAAATTTCGAGATCAACGTCAGTTTTGTTTTTCTATTCTTTCCTACCTCGCCTTTTAGGTTATACGAGATTTTCCCGGGCCGGAGGGTGAGGGCGGGGAATTTAAAATCCCCTCTGGCACCGGGACGCGAACTCGTACTTTTTTTAATCTCATATCCAGGTCATCTGGTTGCCGGGTTATCCCGCCCCAAGAGATCAACTTTAATATACCTTCTTACAAGTATACCTGAATATTAGCGTGAATCCACGTATTTCGTAATATAATGTAAATCACAATATAATATAAACATCCCGATTGACATGAAAGACAATTATAGTGAGTATAACACCTATTGGCCCTTTTGTCTCTCACCAGTTTTCTATAAACTGTACTCCAGAGTTTTCGAAAGAAGGCAACAAAAAATAGTAGAAGATCTAGAACAGAAACAAGTTTTTTCTTGTCCTAGAAAAATAGCTTGACGAACCAAAAAAGACATAATACACCAAATTGTCGTTTGGAAGCACTTAAGAATTATTTTATCGCAGTTTTCTTTTGAGGGAAGTGTATGCTGTTCAAAATATTTCAAGTAATATTTTCAATAATAGATTGAAATAATAAAATATTGACAAGTTTGAGGAGAAATTGAATTGTTTTATTAGGTTGTTGAGTGAAAGTTGTGTACATGCGCACAAGATTTTTGTCTCAAATGTTCTTTTATTAAAAAAAAAAAATATATATATAAAATTTTGCTTTCATAATGATATTTATTAAAATGTTACATTTCCTCCACAGAAATCATCGGAATCTCTTAATTTATCAAATGATCCAGTTACATCAAATATTTATTTTACAGGAAGAGAAAGAGGATAACAATAGACCTGGTAACAACGAGTATTGGTATGACTACTTGGTGAGAGACGGAGCGCAAGGATTGGACCTAGGACAAAGGGAAGCGAGGCAGGGGGGCCTCGTAAGGGGGGGATATCACGTCCTCCTTCCTGACCGCAGGACCCAACTTGTCCAATACTGGTCCGATTGGTCTGGCTACCATCCCACCGTCACCTATTCCTATACATAACCTCTCTAAAGGCAATCAAGTATTCAGTATTATTACCCAAGCTACATGTGTACATAATTGTTTGTATATGTAATGATTGTATATTATGTATGTGCCATTATAGGTGGAGATGTATATGTGATATTATTTATACCGCGTGTATGCATGTTTAATTTCTTATGACTTACAAGAAATAAATTGCAGCTATTCTGTCATGTAAGAAGTGCTGAAAAGAAAAACAACTATATAAAATTTATGTTAGGTTGCAATTGGAAAAATACAACCATACGACATCGAACCTCAAAAATGCAGATAAAGAATAAAATAATCCGTCAAGGACTAGCCAATGCATCATCAGGACAACAAAACAAACCAAAGATCATAGAACTCTATGCCATCCAATCGTATTCAGGAAAGCATACTGAGAATAAGCAATTGGATTTCATCGGGTGATGTGATCTTTTTTTTTTTTCTGCTCTTATGACACCTGAATTGGCGAACAGCTGACGGGTCATTTCGTTTTTTGCTTGAATTTTATAAATAAAAGGCTATGCAGTTGGATTTTTCCAATTATAAAATAACATAATTTTCTGTCCCTTAGTGAGGTATTATTCGTTACATTAATTATGTAATTATTTTATAATGAAGTTTTTTTTATTTTTTTAATGTATAATAAATATAAATTTCATTACCTTCTGAATTAGTACGTTATTTTTGTTACATTAATTTCACTGTATATTGTTAATACATTAATAATAAATAAAATACTTTTTCTTAGATATTTAATTTTTTTTTTTTATGCCCGTTGTCCTCTCTTGTGGATTTCACAAATTAGTAGGTAATATGAGTTATTTACACGATTATATGGACAAGAGAGAGCCTGGATTAATTTAAACAAACTCCATCTACTGTTATTAAAAAATATTGAGGTATGCCAAAATTATTACAAATAATATTATGCTGAGATTGACGTTTAAACATAGTGTAAACTATAAAATAAATTGCATACGAATTTAGTAGGAATTCTACCAATTAGGTGGTAGTACTTTTCTAGTTTCCCCTGTTTGATGAACTTGAAACCTCCTTCTAGCCTATCAAAGGAAAAAAAAACACCGACTTCTTTGTAAGAAAAACTAAGCGGATTCAATTTAACTATTACAGTTCAAAGTAATTTATAACTATATGCATTCTATGAATTTTTCATTCCTGCATGCTTCTGAAAGAAGTAATTATAATATTAAATACAGACCAGTAACTTTGAAAATTAGTAATAGGATCATTCCCTGGCAAATCGTCCAGGGTCCGTAACCCACTCCTTGCCCCCCCTCAGACCTTAATGAAAATTTTTAAATATTAAGTAAATATACATGTAAGTAAAAATACCAAATTTTAGCCCATTCTAACGATTAGTTACAGAATAATTGAAGGCTTTTAAGCTTTTGAAATATTTGAAGCTGGAAAGACATTTCGGTTTCAATACTAGCATATACCTGTTTGGTTTTCATCTGTAAAACCAATATTCATTGACGAAGAGCTTTCAAAATTTATTCAGTGGTCATAAATTTAATTCAGAATCTGTTGATATCATAAGTTTTAGCATTATAATTTTTCTTTCTATATAAAAAAAAATCATAAACATAAGTTTTCAAAACATATAATGCAATATGTATATAAAATATATAATAAAAATATATAAAACTACCTCTATCTAAAATTTCTCTCCAAAAACCCTAATACAACCGTATATTAGTGAAAACAGCATAAAATTCACTACCAAATGCAAAAATAATATAAGGGGATCTTGAATTTGAAGAGTTTTATTACACTTTAAACAAAATACACTAAATTTTAATTTACCAGTTACAAATACAAGTGAAATTCTCTTAAATCTCTCTACAAATATCCTAGTATAATCAAGTATCACTGAAAAGAGCATACAATTGTTCTATCAGATCATGAAATAATATTTGTGGAGTTTTGAGTTATAAGAGATTTTTTATAATGTAAATCAAATAAATTTTTGCGTTGAGCTAATCGATCACTCTACGAATACCCCAATACAACCATATATTATAACCATATAGATGTCAAAAGTGTGACAAGTCATTAACTATAAAACATGTCTTGGAAGAGTGCCCGCATCTTTTACACACCAAGCTTAAAAGATCTCGGAATACTCCAGAATATATCAACATTACCCGGAAATCAAGAAGAAATCATCACCTAAGTTATGAAAACATATATGACAAGTTTATAACAAATGATCCTTTGCAGATTTATTTGTTATTTTATTATTTTAAAAGTTCATTTATTTAATAATTTTCTGCTTTATTTCTATTTTTTTTTTTAGTGTATTTCGTTATGTATTCTATCTTATTATCAATAAGTGTCTATTATTATCATTATTTATTTTATTCCATTATTTTTATTCCTTTTTTTTATTTTTATCCCTTTTTTATTTATTTTTTGTACCAATCACCTGAATAGTATAAAAGTAGTGTTATTTAGTTGATCGAGCGCTGATGAACTGGACATCGAAACAAACAACCACGTATTAGTGAAAACGTGATAAAATTCTCTATGCAATGAAAAAAAAAATATATTAGTGGGATTTTGAGTTTGAAGAGTTGTATAACAATTTAAACCTAATACATTAAGATTTAATTTATCAGTTATATGAGGATAGCAATTTTTACTTAAATAAATTCCTCTCTCCGAATATAACTATATATTACTTCAAACAACATGCAATACTCTTCCAAATGATAAAATAACATTGAGTGGCCTGTTGAGATTAATGAGATTTATTATAATATTAATAAATAAAATAATTTCTGCATAAATAAAATAATTTTTATATATGGTCGTTATAATATATGGTTGTATTTGGGTATTCGTAGAGAGATTTTTGCTACAGGTATTTTTCGATATCGATTAGCACATCATTTCCGCATAACCCCAAAACTTATTTGATTTACATTATAATAAATCTCATTATAACTCAAAATTCCACAAATATTATTTCATGATCTGATAGAAAATCTCATGTTACTTCCAGTGATATGTGATTATAATAGGATATTGGAGAGAGATTTAAGCAAACTTCACTTGTAATTAAAACTTAACTGGTAAATTAAAATTTACTGTATTGTGTTTGAATGTAAAAAACTCAGGATCCCTCTAATATTATTTTTGGATTTGGTATATAATTTTATGCTGTTTTCACTAATATACTGGGGTATGTGGAGAGTGATTGTAGCTAGATGTAGTTTTATGTATTTTTATAACTATTTTGAAAATTTATGTTTAAGATTTTTTTATACATGAAGAAAATAATATTCTGTATTAAATTTATGACGAATCAATACATTTTGAAAGCTCTTGGTCAATGAATATTGGTTTTACAAATGAAAACCAAGCAGGAAAATGTTGGTTTTGAGTCCTAAATGTCTTCCCAACTTCAAATATTTCAAAAGTTTAAAGCCCATAATTCTGAAACTAATCTTTAGAATTGGCTATATTTTGGTATTTTTACTTACATGTATATTTAATTAATGTTTACAAAATTTCATTAAGATCTGAAGGGGATGGATTGAATGGACAAATTGAACGTTTTCTGGATGATTTGGAATGGAATGACCCAATACTTTTTTTATGTTTCACGTGACAAATTATTTCGTGCTAAAAGTTTTAAATGATGCAATTTTATTTTTTTATTTTTTTGGAGGGGGAGGGGGCAAATTTACATCTGATTTATATTAAATTAACATAACATATTTGTTTATAATGTTTTTACTATTATATTGTTTACTAAGGAGACAAGGGTACCCTGGTAGACATTGGCGGATATATGGGGATGAGGGAGGGGCTTTAGAACTGAAATAAATATTAACTAATTACCTCTAAAAGTATTATTGTGCGTGTAATTACATTTTTAATTGTATATAAAGAAACATTTTTTTTTCTGTGTCCTCGCCTTTAAGACTATACGGGGTTTTCTCGGGCCAGGGGTGAGGGCGGGAATTTAAAAGATATCCCCGGCACCGGGACGCGAAGTCGTGACTATTTTTATCTAGTAATCTCATGTATCAGGTTGCCGGACAACGGCAGTGCTGTGCACACACACGTTAGCCCATTCGGCCACCCCTCCCACAAGAATCACTTAAATACCATTTCATATAGGTAGTAAGTTTTTTTTTATTTTGCATACCAAGTAACTGACGTTATAATATAAAAAAAATGGGGGAGCTAAAGCCCCCCAAAGTTAAATCCTGGATCCGCTACTGCTACAAACTGTAAATTAAGAACAAATAATACAAATGGTTAATTTACTACCCTCTAAATCGTTTAAAGTTTTGATAGTTTTAGAAGGTTTCCTTTGAAAATATCTTAAATTTTAATGCTATAACTAATTCTGTTTTAATGGTAGATATTCTGAATATTTTTTAATACTTCCATATGTATTAAATGTTCTTCCGGGTTTCGTTCGGAATCCGCTATTGCTGGTAGAAGTTCGTCAATACATCACTGTAAATTTGGAACAAATAATACACATTGTTAATTTACTACTCTCTGGATTGTTTAAAGTTTTGTTAATTTTAAATTGTTTTCTTGTAAAGTACCTTAAATTTTAATCCTATAAATAGTTCTGTTTTAATGGTAGATAATCTAAATATTTGTTAATATTTCCGTATGCATTAAATGTTCTTCCGGGTTTCTTCCGCCATGGTCCCGTGCATCAGCGCTTAGTGATTGTGAGCAGAAAGAGCTCTGAGGGAAAGGTACCTACCCAGTTAACAATGAGTTCAATGTTCGGCCAATACTTGAACGTTGTACCTGAGTCACGCTGAAAGTGTACAGTCTGCTCTTTGGGCGAACCAGCCAATCTCTTCGCGACGGATGTGGTCATTTAGCTGAATCATTCATGATTAACTTTTCGACCAGTGAAGCCGAATGTGATTCAGACGACTACTTAATTAATTATAATTCATTATCTCGAATAATTAAAGTTTACTAATGAA